AAAGCATGTGAGCCTTATGCATCTTTGAAAAGAGCAAGCTTTAGGTTCCAAAAGGAACTAGTGGGGAGGGGGGGTGGGAAGCACCACAAATTTCTCCGGGGTGCATGTAAATTAGCCTGGGTCAGACTGGAGGGGTGGGGCAGGCAGTGCTGAGCAGATGCAGAGGCCACAGCACTTTCTCTGTTCCAGGGCTAGGATCTGTCTCTCATCTGACTGCTTTGCAAAGAAAACTTTCTGTCCACCAGCTTTCTAAATTTAAAATTCCTCTGAATACAGTATAAAAATGTTCTAAGCAATAATTAATGAGAAGTGACTTAACATGCAAATGCCTGGAGTGAATATTTGAAAGCATAATCATTAGCCAGTTTCACCCATCTGAATTGCCAAATTCCTCTGTATTTTGACAGTGGGTACAGTGAGGGGGCAGGAAGGTGGGGAAAGCAAGATAAAAGCCAGAAACCTGGAAATCCACGTGTACACTGTAGACCCCAGCGGCCTGCTAGGGGCTAGGCACATCCCTACAAGCACACAGGAGGCCAAGGAAGACAGCGGTGCGAGGGGTCCACTTGTTTACATGGTCTCCCTTTCTGCTCACCTTTACAACTCTCCAGGCTGCCAAGTGCATGTGGACCTGCCATTTCAGCCCCAGAGCAGAAACAAAGTCCACTCTTGGGGTTAACCATTACCAAGCACTCGCTTCTTTTGTCACATCTGCCTGCCTGGATCCCTGGGCTAGCATCATGCTCTTCCGGCCGGTCCCATCATCTTCTTACTATCTTTTGTCTCTGCTCCAAGCCCTCCTCCCTCAGTGACCAGTGGACCTGACAGCTACTATAGAGGTCTCCCAAGCAAGTGGAAAGTATTCTGGAGCCAGTTCTGTAGAGTGACAGTGCACTGGCCCCTAACCCAAAACAGACCCTTGGTCTTGGCACCTCTCAGCCCTGGAAATGACCTAAGTGTAACCCGCAGCACAGAGTTGGCTCACAAACACTGCCAAATCCAAGCTTGTTTTTCTTTTTTTACTTCAAAAATCCAATCATGGGGCTGCAGACCACATTATCGGCCACATGTCCGGCCTGGTAATAAAGGGGCTGTCCACACCCCCATGATCAGATCAGCTACCCTGCATCTGGCAACACTAGCTGTGGCCAGCCAGCACTGCACCCTCCCCTGCTGGCCCGTCTCCAGAGCATTCTTTCTGAAGCTACTGCAGTTCTGTGGAGAAGGAGGCAGAAGGGCAAGTGCACCTCTGTGTTTAGAGAGAATAGAGTAAGCTGCTCCTTACTTGCTCCTCTGCTCAGACAAGTCAAAGTGCATTGAAAATCTGCTGCAAATCTCCAGGGACATACAGGGCCTGGCCTAATCCTGGTTCAGCCCAGGCTAACCCAGAGACTATTTACCCTTAAGGAAAAAAATACTAAACTGGTCAACTGTATGCAAGAAAAAAAAAAAAAACCAACCAACTCAGACCTCTTTCTAAGTCATGCACAAAAGTCAAATCAAACAGATTAAAGACCTTGATATCAGACCTGAATCCATGAGGTATACAGAGGAATATGTAGGCAGAACTCTCCCTGATAATGGAGCTAAAGGCATCTTCAAGGATGAAACACCTCTGACCAAGCAAGTGAAAGCAAAGATAAACAAATGGGATTACATTAAATTAAAAAGCTTCTGCACCTCAAAGGAAATAATGATCAGGATACACAGACAGCCCACGGAATGGGAGGAATTATTTACCCAACACTCATATGATGAGAGGTTAAAAATCAGACTTATAAGGCACTGCTAGCATTTTAGAAGGAAAAAACCCCCACCCCCACCAAAAGATGGAGAGAAGAAATGAACAGAAGCTTCAACAAAGAAGAAATACAAATGGCCAAAAGGCACATGAAAAAAAATGCTCTGCAGCTCTGATCATCAGGGAGAAGCAAATAAAAATAACAATGAGATGTCATCTCACATCAAAGAGTGTGGCACACATCAAAAAAGAAAAAAGAACAGCTAGTGCTGGTGCAGATGCAGGGAGAAAGGAACCCTCATTCATTGTTGGTGGGAATGTCGACTAGTCCAGCCTTTCTGGAAAACAATATAGATATACCTTAAAAAATATAGAAATTGAGCTTCCATCTGACCCAACAACTCCACTTCTTGAAATATACCTCAAGGCTCCAAAAAACAAAATGGGAAAAGACATTTGCACCCCTTTATTCTTTGTAGTACTAACCACAATAGCCAAAATCTGGAAACAACCCGAGTGCCCAAGAATAGATGACTACATAAAGAAACTATGGTACATATACACAATGGAATATTATTTAGCTATAAGAAAAGATGAAGTCATGAAATTTGCTGCTATATAGAGGGATCTAGAGAGTACCATGTTGAAGTGAATCAGAGAGGGGAGAGAGCAACACAGGCTGATCTTTCTCAGAGGCAGGATATAAAGAAACATAGTGAGGGGACAATGGGTGCCCAAAGACAACGGAAACAAAGAGCCTGAGAACTAATCTTTAGTAGAAAAACTGCCACTTGAGGGGGATGGCGGATAGGACAGGGAGGGGGCAATGTCTATGGTGGAGGGAAGTGTTCAAGCCCGGAGGTGGTAATGAAAGCCGGTAATGTGTAATGTATGAAACCCTATCCACAAAAGCACTGTAAACCATAGTGCGAAATCTTATTGGGGAAAAAAGTGTCTCTCATAGAAGTAGACTGGTGGGTGGGAGACATATTGGGTTAGATGTGGGGTGGGGGCATTGGTGGAGGGAAGTAGAACCTGGGGAAGGTATCTATGTTGTGGCATTGTAGGCCTGAAACCAATCATGAATTACTTTGCAATTTCACTGTGACGAAGGTATTAAAAAAAATTCTGGGGGACCGAAGAGGTGTCTCAACAGATTGAAGTGTGTACTTTGAAAGCTGGAGACCTGGGTTCAATCACCAGGATGGCCCGATTCCCTGAGCACTGTGAAGAGTGATCTTTGAGCAGCAAGCAGAAAGATCACCACCAGGGGTGGCCTCCAGCCCCAAAACTAAAATTGCATGGAATCTGTATGTAGATGGTTAAAAAAAATAAAATAAATACTGTTTCTGAAGTAACAGAATAAATCTTGGTACTAAAGAGAAAGAAAGAAAAAGAAAACATAGTGAGGGTCTGGGAGAGAGCTGAAATGGGCTGGAGCATGTGCTTTGCATATAGGAAGTCTGAGTTTGAGCTGATGTCCTGAGCACACCAGAGCAGCCTCATAACACAAAGCCAGAGCTGTCCCTAAGTACCCCTGGAGTGACCCCCAAAACAAACAAATTGAAATTAAGAAGTTTATGCGGAAGCTTTGCTCTTCAATTTCCCCCAAATACAGAGTAGCTCATGAAAGCAGAAGTCTTAGCAAATCAGTGGAAAAGCAACTCTGTAGAAGTACAATCAAGACTCCTTTATTATTTCACCAGAGGAACATTATTTTAGAATACAGTAAAGAGTAAAAGTCAACTGGATAGAGAAGAGAGCACCAAATAAAGGGTGTTGTGAGGACCCTCCCAGGGTGGGAGAAGCATGCTAAAAGTAGTCTATAGACCAAACATGATTGCCACTCAATGCCTCTCTTGCAAAACACAGTACCCAAAAGAAGAAAGAAAGAACAAGGGGGAATGCCCTGCCACAGAGGCAGGGTGGGATGGGGGGGAATGGGGGGTGGGAGGGATGTTAGGACCCGTGGTGGTGGAGGATGGGCACTGGTGGAGGGATGGGTACTTGATCATTGTATAACTGAAACCCAAGCACAAAAATTTATAACTGTACCTCATGGTGTTTCACTAATAAAAATAAAAGTCAACTGGATTAACAACATGGTGGGATTATTACCATTAATCTTTTTGTGTCTTGATGATGGCACTTCTGGTGGTGGGTGGATATTTAGGGCAGAGAATACCCTGCAACCAGAGACAGTGTAAGAACCAGAGCACTTGCCTTGCACACAGCTAACCCTGGCTCCATCTCTGGCAACACAGTGCCAAGCACCAGGTGGGTAGCCCTGGCAATACCAGCGTGACTTAGATGATCCCAGCAATGTACCTTCTAAGAAGCAACACAACTTTAGGTCCTTGTATTGAAGGCCAGCCCAGGACTGAGAAACTGAGGGAAGAGGATACAGGGACCACTTAAGTCCCCAGAAAGGAGAATAGCCCAAATTGCCTAACTAACAAAATATACCACCACTTATGGTTCTCCAAAACATGGTACCCAGGACTGATAGAGTTAGTTTAGGTGACGGCACTGATGCCAACAGACTGAAGCACAGGCATATTGTGGTCAATATGTGTCAAAGTTGTGATGTTTGGGGGCTCACCTGGTGCCAGCGGGCAAACTCAGGCCCTCACACATGCAAGACATGGGCACCATTTCAGCTATATCCCCAGCCCTACCTACAGATTAATCAGAACATAATGTCCTTCTTACTCACCAGAAAAGACAGAATGAATATAATTTTTCTCTATTAAAATCTGATATTTTTATTTTAAGTACCTCCTTTTTAACCCCGAAAATTAACCAACAGCCACACAGAAAGCCTCATGGAGCTAGTGGAAATGAAGGATGAGTAAGCAAAAGCCACCATTGCCTCCTTCCTTCCTTCTCCACCAGCCTTCCCTCCCACCTGGCATATGCTTTTAGCAGTGCACTCAATTAAAAGGGAAATAAATGCTCTCAGTCATTTGACCACAAAGGTTTGAGAACTCCCTGGAACAATATGTGAAAGGGAAGAAACTATTCTCGGAAATAGAAGTTCTCAGCCCTGAATCCCACAGACTTCCTGTGTGGTACTACCTTGAGGGTGTTCATCCAAAAAGACAATCTCAGAGCAAGACATACTGGTGTCAGATGGGAGTGGAGACTCTGCAACCATAAGAAGCTTTCCTGGGTATCAGTAAGACCGGAGGCAAGGGCCCCCATATTTCACAAAGAGTGTCCTTTTGTCTGTACTTAAGTCCTTGCCTGGTGGACTCACCTGGTGGACTCCCATGTCCTGCTGCAGCTGTGGCGATGGCGAAAGCAGACGCAGGTGAAACAGAGCAGTGGGAGTTGTCCGCTGTCTGTCCTGGTTATTTAAAAAAGAATGGAAATAGCAGAGTTCGATGAATAGTACTCGACTATGCAAAGTCTCATTTTCATTCCTAATTTCAATACAGGCACTGTACCACCCTGTATTATGCTCTACATCTATGCCCAAAGAGAAATGAAAAAATCCATCCACATCTATGTGACTATCCCTAGCAATGTTATTCAAATGACGTAGTCACCAAATAGAAACAATCAAATGTCTATGATCTCATGAATGGGTAAGTCAAATGTGCAATACAGACACACAAAAGAATATTATTGAGGCCCCCCCCCAAAAAAGAGTGAACTACTGATATGTACACCATGGATAAACATGGTATATTGAAACATAATGCTCAGAGAAAGAATTGTTACCAAAAAAACATCTATTGTGTGCTTGCATTTCTATTCAATGTTCAGGAAGGCAAATCCATAGAGGCTGAAAGTCCATTAATGATTGCCTGGGTCTGGGATAGGATGAGATGACTAATGGGAAATGTTTCCATTTTTGGAGTAAAAAAAATGTTCTGGCATTAGATAGTGGTCATGATGCCCGATATTGTGACTATATCAAAACCACTGAACTATTTACTCTCAAGGGGTGAATTCTACGGTAGGTGAATTATATTTATATGTAATATAGGTATAGATTTTAACATATTCTATATGATGTTACTCAGTTTCTTTTTTCTGAAAGAAAAGGGTTTATTTATGTTTATTCCCTTCCCTTCCACCTTCCCTTTCTTTTTGATGTCATTGCAATGACCAGGGCACCACGGTGCATATATACACTGGCGTGACAAAGAATGTGGTGTCCGGGATCCCACACAACAGTGCTCCCATTATCATGCAAGGCACGTGGGGTGGTGTGAGGACCAAACTCAAAGCCCCATGTCTCCAAGGCGTGTTCTACTGCTCAACCATGTCTGGGAACACACACATCTACCTGAGACACCTTGGAATGGCCTCAAAAGTGGAAAGGCGGCACCAAGCACCTTTTTTGCCGTGTCTTTCTGGCCCGGATATTCTAAGTTCAGCATCTGATAATGAGGCTGTTGCCAACCTCACTGCTTTTCCTCACCTAGGCTTTTAGTGAAAATAGTTTCCCATGATTGTGACTTAAAGGGCTTTCACTTGTCCCTAAAGATATATTCATACGTTAAGAGAGGAAATAAAGAAAAGAAGCAGAGTTGTTTAATATAGCCAAACATGAAAGCACAAAGAAGCTCAAAACTCTACATCCATCCCTCCTGGCAACATTAAAAACTAAAAAAAAATCTCTTCATCCAAATAGCTTGAAAACCCTTGTAGAACAATGTGGCAAAAAGACAGATGAACAGGCAACATTGCTGCCTGCGGTGAGAAAATGTGTGATAAGATCCCCATTTGGATCCTGCACATTATCACAGATTGTGGCTTCCTATGTTCCCATGCCTGTATGATTCAGTCATAGCAGGGAAGAAGCCAAGGAGTTTAGTTAATCCATAAACAGCTTGAGGATTTCCAAATAATGCTTACCAAAATTAAAAATTATATCTATAGTATATGTGTTAAAAAGAAACTATGAAACAGAGTTGTGAAAATAGTGCCAAAGCATTTCGCTGTAACTCTAGCCTTGGTAGAATTTTTCCCCAAAATCCTTCCGGATTATGATCTAAGCCATGTAGCAATAGTCCAGGAGGTTGCAAAGGCCAACTGATCAAGACTCTCTGAACAATAAAGAGATTTGGGGCTGGAGAGATAGAACAGCAAATACGGCGCTTGCCTTGCATTGAGCAGACCTGGGTTCCATCCCTAGTGTAACATATGTATTCTCTTACCCCTCCAGCCCCACCAGAGCCAGGGGTAATCCTGAGTCCTGCCAAAGGTGGCACACGATCCCCCAAAATAAAAGAGAGACTTTTGCTGATTCCATAGCAGTTCTAGAACTGACCAGGAAAACCTAGCTTTTCATCCTTGTTTGTCATAACCATCCAAAATGCCCAGAAGAACCAAGAACAAGAACCTGAAACCAGCACACTTTCTAAGATCACAGGCTAATATCCATCACACAGAATATCTATCAGCCTGACAACAGCCCGACCCAGCCTAGAGGCTCTCAGAGTTGCTGCCATACCAACAGATCTATCATCTGGCAGAGCCTACAGATAAAATGACCTTTTCTTTCTTGGTTTTTGGGTGTTTTCCCAGTGGCAGGGATTGAGCCCAGGATATCACAAATACAAGACATCTGCTTTATCTCTGAGCCATATCACTAATTCTAGCAACCATTTCTAGATTCCACTAACAGCCCTGGTGAAGTGAATATGAAAGTCAGGAGCAGTCTTTACATTTAACTTGAGTGATCTCAGTGAATCTGAATTATTCAGTGAATATGAATTCATAATTGTGTAATTTACCCTCCTGACTTCTTTTTTTTTAATTTAACTTAAAAGTAAAGTAAAGGCCCTCCCGTTGATCGTCGATTTGCTCGAGCGGGCCCAGTAACGTCTCCATTGGAGACTTTGTTGTTACTGTGTCTGGCATATCGAATACTCTCGGTAGCTTGCCGGGCTCTCCGAGAGGGGCAGAGGAATCGAACTCGGGTCGGCCATGTTGGCCGCTTGTAAGGCGAACGCCCTACCCGCTGTGCTATTAAAATTTATGTATTGAATCACTGTGAAAAAAGTTACAAAGCTTTCAGGTTTAAGTCTCGGTCATACAATTATCAAACATCCATCCCTTCACCAGTGCATATTTTTCACAACCAAGAACCCCAATATACCCCCTTCTTCCCCTCCCAATGCCTGTGAGGCAGATGATTTCTACTTAACTCTCTCTCTCTACTTTGACTACATTCATTATTTCTACAAAAGATGCACCATTATTGTTTGGAATTCCTCCCCCCAAAAAAATCAGAACTGCTGAAAAGGCATTGTGAAATAATTTGTATTCTATTGCTAGTTATGAAGACCATATGATGCAGCCGTGCAATTTTGGATTTCTGATATTTTACTAATTAAGTCTGGGGGGATTCCTGCCAAGAGCCAGATAATTATGAGATTGGTTTGTGTGCCTCTGGGGCCATAACCGTGCAGGAGAGCCACTTGTGGGGGTGGGGGGCAACTCATGGCCTTGGTAGGGCATGAAGGATATGCCAGTTCCGCACCCCATCCCATGAGGCTGCAGTTGCCCCATCACCACCGGCTTATACCTGGCTGTCCAATAAGCTCTAAAGCTGTGGCCACCGTGCTGCAGTGGGGGTGGTGGGGGGAGAAGTGGAAGAGACAGATATCCTTTCCCTCCCAGGAGGGCAAAATGCCATAGTTTAATTCATAGTCCATTCACATTTCTGCCACAAGCTGCTGGATTCTGAATTAGATTCGTGTGTCTCTGGGGCCATCGCCAAGCCATAGAGCTGCTTGTGGGGGGCAAATCATGGCATCAGTAGGGTGTGAAGCCCTTCCTGACTTCTTAGAGCAGAAAACAATGATATACCTCAAAATAACTGCTATTGGGGTCTATTTATTTGAACAATAAAGAAATAGATAAAAGATTTCTAACTTTGGCTTAGATGATATTTCCTACAATTAGAAAACATTGAGGTTTGTACCCGCTTAGTGCCCCCTCCCAACCTAAAATCGCGACCCTGAAAGCCAGCCACCACCAGGACCCAGGCCTGGGGCACCTGCCTCTACTTCCGCAGCAAGCGCCAGCCCAACTAGTCCCTGCCCCAACAGGTATGTGGACTAGAATCTGAACTGGCTGGGGTGGTCACCACTGTAGGGGGCGTGGCCTCCTCAAAAGTGGGCGTGGCCTTCTTCGAGGCTCGCAGGGCCACGGTTACATTTCCCACTCCCAGCACTCTGGACTTTCATCCCAGCCTCTATCGCCTAATTCTGTGGGGAAAATCCTGGCCACCTCAACTACAATACAACAATAATCCATTGGCCTACTCCAATTCTAACAAAAGACCAGTACGCAAGAAGCTGTACAAGCCCAATATTAAAGAGCACCTCCACCAAAGCTTCACTAGATGCCCATCATAAGCCAAAGAATAATGCCTGAGAGGAAGGTCAGATTCTAGAAAGGGAGAAGGGTGACTACCATCGACCAACCTTATCCAGAATCCTTTCCCATGATAAGGGGGAACAGTGCTAGTGAATTCCAGGGTTTTAGCACTAGATAACCAAAATAAGAAACAGCACAAATCTCCACTCAAGGAGAGGACGAAGAAAAGAGTCCCGAATCCTCAACAAGGGTTATCTACAAATATGCTCTCTCCGATAAAGAATTCTGAGACAAAATGCAGAGGATGTTCAAGGATCTACTCAAAGAATCAATGGAGGAGATATCCAGAAAACTAAAGGAAGAAATGAAAGAAACAGTAGAACAGATAGTCGAGAAAATACAGGAAGAAATGAGAGCAGAAATAAAAAAGCTACAAAAAGAAGTGTCACAAATAAAGGATTTGGTAGACAAAGTAAAAAACTCAGTAGGTGCCCTTAGCAGTAAGATGAATACAACTGAAGACAGGATCAGTGAGCTTGAAGATAAGCAACAGAAATTGCATAGGGAACAACAAGCAATGGGAAAAGACCTCAAAATAGTCTAAGGAGAATCAGAGATTTAGGAGATGACGCCAAAGGAACAACATTAGAATCATCGGAGTACCAGAAGGACAGGGAGGCAACCCCAATGAAACAGCCACAGTGAAAGAAATTGCTGAAAAGTTCCCAGAGTTAAAGAATGCAGACATCCAGATCCAAGGAGCCAGAAGGGTGCCAGCTAAAAGAGACCCTAATAAAAACACTCCAAGGCATATCATAGTAAGAATGATGGATGCTGTGGACAGTGACACAATACTGCAAGCAGCAAGGTCAAAGAAGGAAATTACAATACTGCAAGCAGCAAGGTCAAAGAAGGAATAAAAAAGAGCACCCCTTAGATTTATAGCAGACCTATCAGAGGAAACCCTCCAAGCCCGATGACATTGGTGGGATATAGTGAAAAAACTCATTGAAATGACCGCCTCACCAAGAATACTTTATCCAGCTAAACTCTCACTCAAACTCGATGGAACTATACACCATTTTGTAGAAAAACAACAGCTCAGGAACTCCATAGACTCAAAGCCAAATCTAAAAGAAGGATTAAAGAGGCTCCTGTAAGCTAAGAAGAAAAACACTTATAAACACAACCAACTCTTACCAAAAGATAGCACAAAACCCCATGACAACAATCTCTCTCAATGTCAATGTTCTAAATGCACCAATCAAGAGACACACAGTGGCAAAATGGATACAGAAACTAAAAATAACATTCTGCTGTCTACAAGAAACTCATCTGAACAATCAGAGCAAGCACAGACTCAAAGTTAAAGGGTGGAAAACAATCCTGCAAGCAAATTGCTCCTTCAAAAAAGCTGGGGTGGCCATACTAGTATCTGACAACATAAATTTCAGGTTGAAAAAGATTAAAATGGACAGCCAAGGCCATTTTCTATTTATCAAGGGATACGTACAACAGGAAGAAATCACACTCTTAAATGTATACACACCTAATGAGGGAACAGCTAAATACTTAAAATAACTGCTAACACATTTAAGAAGGGCATTGCTAGCAACACAATAGTAGTTGGAGACTTCAACATCGCCTTATCACCTCTGGATAGATGAACAAGAACAAAACTCAGCAAGGAAACATTGGCTTTGAAGGAAGAAAGAGAAGAGAGGGGGCTAATAGACCTATACAGGGCTTTACACCTCAAAAAGAAAGAATACACTTTCTTCTCCAGTGCACACGAAACATTTTCCAAAATAGGCCACGTGCTAGGCCACAAAACATACCTCAATAGAATCAGGAAGATAGAAATAGTATCAACAATCTTTTCAGACCACAATGAGCTGATGAGAGAAGCAAATCACACAGAGACATCGAGAAACAAATCAAACACCTGGAAATTAAACAATTCAATGTTGAACAATGAGTGGGTCAGGAAGGAAGTCATGGGGGCATGGTGCCACCAGCAGGTCAATCTGTACCTGTAAGGTTAGTGCATCAGCAGCCTGATGGCGCTCAATGCCTCTTTTGCAAACCACAGCACCAAAAGGAGAGAGAGAACAAAAGGAAATGCCCTGCCACAGGGGTGGGGTGAGATGGGGGGATAGGGAAGTTGGAGGGATACTGGGAGCATTGGAGGTGGAGAATGGGCACTGGTGGAGGGATGGGTACTCAATCATTGTATAACTGAAACCCAAGCAAAAAATTTTGTAAGTCTACAACTGTACCTCATGGTGTTTCACTAATAAAAATTAAGAAAAAAAAGAAAACATTTGGGAAACTCAGAAGCAAATACTATTTTATTGTTATTGTAACTATAGAATAAATACTGATTTTGATCAAAGCAAGAATGATATATGGGGTCCATGCTATGCGACTTTATTTTAGATGAAATAGAACTTTCCAAGGTCTCTTCTTCAACTGTGGGATCTAAGTCAAGCCAATCTATTGTGGAACACACTAAGGTTCATGATGTGCTGTCAGAGTCCTGGTGCATTTTTGGGTAAAACCAGCTCGGAAATTATTTAACTTAAAGTCACCTAAGAACAGAGTATTAGGGGCTGGAGTGATAGCACAGCGGGTAGGGTGTTTGCTTTGCACATGGCTGACCTGGGTTCAATTCCCAGCATCCCATATGGTCCTCCGAGCACTGCCAGGAGTAATTCCTGAATGCATCAGCCAGGAGTAACCCCTGTGCATCACCAGGTGTGACCAAAAAAACAAAAAAAAATGAATGAAAGAAAGAAAGAAAATAAAAGAGTATCAGTCCCTGATAAATAAAGTACAATGTAATGATAGCATCAAGTTCATACTGGTTACACTAATCCTAATAATAATTACTGACACTATAGTTAAATGTTAGTGCCTGCTGGTGGAGGGATTGGTACTTGGTCATTGTATAACTGAAACCCAAGCACAAAAATCTGTAAGTCTACAACTGTACCTCGTGGTGTTTCACTAATAAAAATTAAAAAAAAAATGTTAGTGCCTGTCTCACACACAGAGAGACACATATAGAAAATGGTATATTTTCCTTTTGGGGCAGTGGGTGGACCATACCCAGCAATAATCACGGATCACCCCAGGCAGTGCCTGGGGGGGGGCATCTTGAGTGCTGGGGATAAACCCAGACCTCTCACCTACAAAGCATGTGTTCCAGACCTGCCATAACACACATAACATTAAAAAAAATGATTCCAGTAAGGGTTGGTTGCAAGCATATTAACCTCTGTATTATCTCTCAAGCTACCAATGGGCATATTTCTTTTTTTATAGCTATTTTTCCACTACTTGATTGTAGGGAAATGTTATCTGCTTTGAGTTAATTTTCATAAATGAGACTAGGCAATATTTTGGGAGTGAAGGAGTAATGCAAACGAAAATTTCAGCAACTAGAAACCATCATGCATTTTCCATCCCTTCTGAGCCCTTACCTCCAGGCTGACGGTAGCGGAGATGCCGGGGTGTGGAGGGGGACCTACAGGGTGAAAGGTCCGTGGTGTCCATCACTGCTGTGCTTTCTGCTGAGGCTCGGTCTGCTGGTGCAGATTCCAGTACTGCTGCTCAAAAACATGAAAATCTTAATATCCAAGACATCAATTCAAGAGTTCCTTGATATCACGCATGCAAACACAAGAGCTCATGAAGCATCTTCTTGTTTGCCCCAGACCCAGCAAGGCTCAAGGTTATTCTTGACTCTGTGCTCAGGAGTGACCCCTAGTGGTGTTTAGAGGACCATATGTGATGCCAGGGATGGAACTTGGGTTGTCCACATGCAAAGCAAGTGTCTAACCTCCTGTACTATCTCTCCAACTCCTTTAGAACTCAGTGAGTGCCCGAGAATAGATGACTGGTTAAAGAAACTTTGGTACATCTACACAATGGAGTACTATGTAGCTGTTAGAAAAGATGAAGCCATGAAATTTACATACAAGTGGTACTACATGGAAAGTATCATGCTAAGTGAAATGAGTCAGAAAGAGAGGGACAGACATAGAAAGATTGCATTCATCTGGGGAACATAAAGTAACAAAATAGGAGACTAATACCCAAGAATAGCCGAGATAAGTAGCAGGAGGTTTACTCCATGGCTTGGAGGCCAGCCACACACTCTAGGGGAAAAGGCAGCTCAGATAGAGAAGGGAGCACCAAATAGAGGATGTTGGGAGGATCCGCCCAAGATGGGAGATGCATGCTGAAAGTAGACTATAGACTGAACATGACTGCCACTCAATGCCTCTTTTGCAAATCACAGCACCCAAAAGGAGAGAGAGAACAAAAGGGAATACCCTGCCACAGAGGCGGGGTGGGATGGGGAGGATGGGGTTGGAGGGATACTGGGAGCAATGGAGGTGGAGAATGGGCACTGGTGGAGGGATGGGTACTCGATCATTGTATAGCTGAAGACCAAGCACAAAAATTTGTAAGTCTACAACTGTACCTCATGGTGTTTCACACAAAAAAAATAAAAATAAAAAAAACTCAGTGAATAAATAGGCTTTAATAGAGGTAAGTCATTTCTCCTGGAATAGAAATCACTATTCTATTCACACTAAATCTAAGTGTGGGTCTTCTCTACCTGTCTTCCAGACCCTGTTGAGCTTGACAGACCTGCACTGCCATTTAGTCCAAAAACACCAGCAGATGTCACAGAAGACTAAGGTATGCAAGGTATGTTTGGCAATATTTCTGTTTTCATGGGAGTGGGGAAACAGTTCCAGATTGCATATCAGGCTGGGATCAAAATTGATCAACACTGACTTCTGATTTCACTAATTCTCTGCTGGGGTTGCTCTCTTAGGCCAACTAATGCTTAATCACTACAGCTTTGGTCCCTCCCCAAGAATGTCTTGAGATGCCTAAGAATCTAGAGAATCTCACTGCCCCTAAATGGTAGCATTAGACAAATGTGGGTAATTAAACTTGACACATTGATGGAAGTTAAATTAATATTTCAGTTCTTCACTTGCACTACACACATTTCATCCTAGTGACCACAGGATTGAACAGCACAGATCTACTGCTTGGCCATCCTCCCAAATGTTCTACTGGAAAGCTCTGATTTATGTCTATGGAAAGGCAGGTGGCAAGAGGAAGTTTTTACTATGAAAAATAGCCTTTAAGATAACTTGAGTTTCTTCCCTGCAGCTAGTGTTTTGTGAATAAAAGATATACTCTGCTGACATCAGACTGTTACTGATATTGATGATGATGCACCCATATACCACCCCCCTACCCTGAACTGGCTTTTCAGACAGGAAAAACAACACCTATAGACATAGTTTAAGGGGTAGCTCTTAAACTTTTATACATTTCCAGTAGCTCTCCCATTTCTTTTTTCATAGGCTTTTTGTTAACTCATAAAAGCCGTGTTACCTCTGCAAATTTTACATTCTCCCCATCAGCAGAACCCTCAACTCCACTCATCTTCCTATCTCTATAAGATTTCACTCAATAAACTTTAAAAATTCCCTAATCACTTCATATAAAATCATCTTGACACTTGTGTGTGTTTAACTCCCTTTAAAAAAAAAAAAAGACAGTCGTTGCCCCCCACGAGCGGCTCTCCAGCACGGCCACAGTCCCAGAAGCACAAGGGCTTAATGCAGAACCCAGCAGCTTGGAGCAGAAAAGTGAACGGACGATGAGTTAACCCAGGCCATCATTTCTGCCCAGAGGGGAAAGGGTGTTGCCCCATTCGCCCTCTCTTCTCTGGAAAGAAGGATGGCGGCCGCATGGGAGCCTTGTGGACAGCAGGTATGAGCCGGGGGTGTGGGGGCGACTAAAACCTCATGGGAAGGGGGGCGTTCTGGTCCGTCCTTCACGCCCTACCGAGGTCACCAGTTGCCCCCCACGAGCGGCTCTCCAGCACGGCCACAGCCCCAGAAGCACAAGGGCTTAATGCAGAACCCAGCAGCTTGGAGCAGAAAAGTGAACGGACTCTGCGTTGATCCAGCCCATCAAGTCTGCCGGAGGGGAAAGGGTGTTGCCCCATTCGCCCTCTCCTCTCTGGAAAGAAAGATGGCGGCCACATGGGAGCCTTGTGGACAGCAGGTATGAGCCGGGAGTGTGGGGGCGACTAAAACCTCATGGGAAGGGGGCGTTCCGGTCCGTCCTTCACGCCCTACCGAGGTCACCAGTTGCCCCCCATGAACGGCTCTCCAGCACGGCCACAGCCCCAGAAGCACAAGGGCTTAATGCAGAACCCAGCAGCTTGGAGCAGAAAAGTGAACGGACTATGTGTTAATCCAGGCAATCATTTCTGCCCAGAGGGGAAAGGGTGTTGCTCCCTTCCGCCCTCCTCCCTCTGGAAAGAAAGATGGCGGCCACATGGGGGCCTTGTGGACAGCAGGTATGAGCCGGGGGTGTGGGGGCGACTAAAACCTCATGGGAAGGGGGGCGTTCTGGTCCGTCCTTCACGCCCTACCGAGGTCACCAGTTGCCCCCCACGAGCGGCTCTCCAGCACAGCCACGGCCCCAGAAGCACAAGGACTTAATGCAGAACCCAGCAGCTTGGAGCAGAAAAGTGAACGGACTATGCATTGATCCAGGCCATCAAGTCTGCCGGAGGGGAAAGGGTGTTGCCCCATTCGCCCTCTCCTCTCTGGAAAGAAAGATGGCGGCCACATGGGAGCCTTGTGGACAGCAGGTATGAGCCGGGAGTGTGGGGGTGACTAAAACCTCATGGGAAGGGGGGCGTTTCGGTCCGCCCTTCACGCCCTACCGAGGCCACCAGTTGCCCCCCGCGAGCGGCTCTCCAGCACGGCCACAACTCCAGAACACAGAAACCAATTTCTTAACTATCTGACTTTCAGTAGAAATACTTCCAGGGTCAATAGGTAAAAGAGCAGAAATCCAAAACCAACATTTAATTCTTGAACCCAGCCGTAGAAAGCAAATCACTTCACAATGCTTTTTCAGCATGTCTGATTTGGGGGGGGGGGTAAACTCTAAATAATAGTGGTGAATCTTTTATTGAAACAATGAATCTAATCAAAGCAGATAGAGTGTTAACTAGAATTCATCTGCTTCACAGGGACGGGGAGGGGTGGGGGGTGGGGTTTTATTGGGGTTCTTCATGGTAAAAAATAAGTATTGGTAAAGGGAAATGTGTTTCATATTTGCATGACTGAGACATAAACCTGAAAGCTTTGTAACCTTTCCCACAGTGATTCAATAAATAAATTAAAAAAAAAAAAAGACAGTCATAATCTCTCTTCTTGAATCATAAAGGTTCCAGGGAAGGCATAGGGTTGGAATCTTTTCTTGAATGACATAATTATAGTAAAGCTGGCAATGATGCAGGATGCAGACCAAAAAAAATCAGGCTTAGCTGTTAGTTTTATTATTTTCTAAATAACTCCCTCAAAATTTAGTCACGGAAGGCATCTGTTCTGCAAGAGCAAGCGGAATACCAAGTATGTACCCCTGGTTGGATGCAACCATTCACTCCTAAAAGGCAAATGAGAAAATATTTCATCAGTAATTATACTAAATCCAAAAGATTTCCCAGTGAGAGAGCTGGACAGATCCCGAACAACCAAGAGAGCCCATGGAAGCAAAGACTAACAGAGAGAAGTGATCAAGCCAGTATGGTGGAGGAGAAAAGAAGCATTTCCTTCTGACATGCTCACTTTCAATCAAGATGCATGCAAACAGCTTTCCCTGCAGGACGAGTAGGCAGATGTGGGCTCAAAACAAATGCTAAAATTGGGAGCACTTTCAGCCCACAGGCAGGCAATTTTCAAACTAAGAACACAGAAACAGACACCAAGGATGTGGGTTGTACAACAATGCTTAGGTTATTTGGCACAGTCATGGTCCACAGAAACATTGATTGCCTAAGGTGTTATCCAATATATAGTGAACAGCCACGGGTCACTCTTCTCTGCCTGCCATCAGTTTGCTTTTTTTAAGAAGACACCAATGTGAGGCTGGAGTGATAGCACAGCGGGTTGGGCATTTGCCTTGCACGCAGCTGACCCAGGTTCAATTCCCAACATCCTGTATCATCCCCTGAGCACTGCCAGGAGTAATTCCGGAGTGCAGAACCAGGAGTAACCCCTGTGCATTGCCAGGTGTGACCCAAAATTTTTTTTAAAAAGACACCAGTGTATGGCAACTGGATGAGACTTGGGGTGATATTTGCACTTTGTAGAAAATCTCAGAGTATAAAAAGGAGAGGACTACCTCTTAGGAAGAAAGGGGCTAATAAATATTGATTGGAATGTGGGCTGGGAAAGATCTGCATATTTGGTTGAAGGGGAAAAAAATGCCATTGATATTTTTAAAGAAGTTCATAGTCTCTGAGGGATATTTCTCACTTCTCACTTTTCTTTTTTCCCTTCTTATCATATTCCTATTGAATATGCTCTTTCCAGGAAAGCCCAAGGTCAGCATTATTACTGCAATGGCAATAAAACTGGACAGAAGTTACTAGTATTTTTCATGGAGAATGCCCTAAAAAACTGTTGATCTGGTCTGTGGACTGTAGTGAGAGACCGTCGACTTCAGTTTGGACCTTATGGGTGAAGCTGGTATTATGCAATGAGTTGGTATA